AACAGGAAGTGGAGGACGAATCCAGGAGGACGAGGAGTCTGTCAGCAGTTTCTGATTGTTCTCAGTCCTTCCAGTCCATGTCGTCCTCTTCATCCAGCAAGAAGCAGCAGCAGCAGAGTCCAGTAGAAGACCCGGTGGTCAGTGCTACACTGCGGCAGCTGCAGCAGCTCGGAGTCCACGTGGACGAAGACGTTCTGACAGAGTCTGGCAAAAACCATCGGAAAGCTGTGGAAACTGCCAGGTACTGAAACGCCTCACACACGGATATGTGTCTGCTTCACAGATAATTGGGAAGTTTCCAGGAAAAACCTGATCTTGTTTGGAGAGATGGCACACTTTGGATGAAGCTGCTCTCATTTCTAGAAATCTGTCTAAATTTATTAAACCCCCCCTAAAATGTGACTATTCAGTGTTGGGACCAGCAAACAGAGTTTCAGTCTTATACGCCTCTCTGCTGCTTCTTTCCTCCTGATTATTAAAACCAAATATATCACAAAGAACAATACGACATCGTCAACTGCAAAAAAGAGTAAAATGGTGAAATGTGGATTAATAAACATTAGGTCTCTTTTCCATGTTAGTAAATGACTATTGTAGGTGAGGTGTTTTTTTTTGTTTTGTTTTTTTAATATCCATGTAAATGTTGAAAATGTCTCCCACAGCATGGCATTTATTCTATTATTAGACTCAGCTTCTCTCGAAATTTAAGTGATCTCACCACTTGAATCACATGGTCCATCTTGTTCTGATGTATGGCCTAGAAACTGAACATTTAACAATATTCCTTGAAAGCACTGTTTTATTTTTCTTCTAAAGATTTTCTAGTCAAATTGAATTTTACAGTAATGCATTACAAAGCAGTGGGGGATAAATTGAATTGCAGTAGATATCTTTCTGAAAGCTCTGTGTCATTTTAGGGATATGATTACTTTTTTACTGTTATGTTCTTAAACGCCATGTGCAGAACAGCTACCTAAACTCTACTCCCACTGAGGTTGACTGGCTTTTTTACAGTGTTACATTCATCACTGCATACAACTCTGAACACACTGTGTACTCTGAAATTGAAGGCAACAAATCAGAGATGCCTGACTCCCCTGTAGGGCTGTGCGATATGACCAAAATCTCATATCCCGATAACGATATAAATCACAAAAATGTAACATTTTCTGTAAATTCTGTGAATCTCGGGCAGCTCGACTTGCGTGAAGTGTTTCCAGCTGCGCGTCATGTAGCTGGAGTCGAGTGTTTTAACAGATGCATGAAACTATACATTTTTAGACATAAGTTGTAAAGGC